GGGATGTGGGGTCCTAAACCTCTTGCTCCTCAAGGAGAACCTAGGAATTGTGAGTTCCCTGCCAGCCGTGTGTCACTGCTCTGAGGGTGGGGTTGATGGCAGGATTGTGTCTCAGCCTTTCCTACCCCTTTCAGAGTGGGTTGTTTTCTCATTTGCCCAACATGTAGGAGTGACTTGGTTTCTAGATTTTACTCACAGGGAACTGTTCCATATGTAGCTATAGATTTGGTGTGTCTGTGTAAGGAGGTGAGTTCAGGATCTTGCTATGTCACCATCTTGAACATGAATCAAGTAATTGTTTCTTTGTCTTAAAATTTAAGGAATTTGTAATTCCTGTACTGTTAAGATTGAGAGCTTGAAAGGGATGGAAATATTCCCAATTCATTCAACAACCTGACAACAAAACCTGACAGGGAGAGCATGAAAAGACTATAAATCTGTCTCAATTATGAATAAAGGTATAAAGTACTAAATAAAATATTAATAAATCAAATCAGTCAGGCAATTAAAGTAATAATATACCAAGACCAAATGGACACACAGGGATGATTCATATTGGAAATATATTGATGTAATTTTTTGCATTAATAGATTAAAAGCCAAAACACATGATGACTCTATAATTAAAAAGAAAGTTAACTTAGGGTTCCCAAATGGGAAAGCTGGGGGTGGGGGATAAATTGAGGGTTAGGGATTAACATGTACACACACACACTATATATAAAATAGATAAACAGGACCTACTTATAGCACAGGGAACTATATTCAGTATCTTGTAATAATCTATAATGGAAAAGAATATATATATATAAGACGGAATCACTTTGCTGTACACCTGAAACTAACACTTTGCAAATCAACTAGACCAGTTAAAAAAAGGCATTTGAATATTATCACTTATGATAAAAACTTGCAGCAAGTTAGAAATAATAGAAAGAAATGTTCTTTAACTGATGGAAAGTATCCATCAAAAACCAAAAGCACATACTACATTTAATGGTAAAACACTAGTAGCATCCTTACTAAATTCAAGAACAGGAAAAGGACAGCTGATATCGCAGTTGTTATTCATCATTGTCCTGGAGTCTTTGCTAGCTTGATAAGAAAAATGCATATAATCCAGCAGTTCCACTCCTGGGGACATATCCCGAAACGCGGAAATGCTTTAAGGTGGGCACTATTAACTCCCATTTAATAGATGGAGAAACTGAGGCTTGGAGAGGTTAAGTCTCTCAGCTGGTAGCTTACGTGGAATTTGAACTAGATTTATTTAGCCTTGGCTTACTTTTTTTTTAACATTTTTTATTGATTTATAATCATTTTACAGTGTTGTGTCAAATTCCAGTGTTCACAATTTTTCAGTCATTCATGGACATATACATACTCATTGTCACATTTTTTTCTCTGTGATTTATCATAACATTTTGTGTATATTTCCCTGTGCTATACAGTGTAATCTTGTTTATCTATTCTACAATTTTGAAATCCCAGTCTATCCTTTCCCACCCTCTACCCCCCTGGTAACCACAGTCTGTATTCTCTGTCCATGAGTCTATTTCTGTCCTGTATTTATGCTTTTTTTTGTTTGTTTGTTTTTGTTTTTTAGATTCCACATATGAGCGATCTCATATGGTATTTTTCTTTCTCTTTCTGGCTTACTTCACTTAGAATGACATTCTCTAGGAGCATCCATGTTGCTACAAATGGCATTATGTTGTCGGTTTTTATGGCTGAGTAGTAGCCTTGGCTTACTTTTAACTACCACGTTGCCCCTCCTTCTACAGGTGAAAATTCTATGATGTTACACTTTTTTCTGTAAAATTTTGTTTAGCTGTTTATAAATAATTTACATATCTATACAACCTTTTTAATGGCTTTGTGGGAAAATATATAAGGCAGTTGCAGGATTTTGAAATACCTTAGAAGTGTGGATGAGTTAAGTTTATATTTCTGCCATGTGAATGTGTATAAAGTTACACAGCATCAGAGCAGTTAGGAGCTTTGGGAACCAGTTATAGTCTTCAGCCACGCCTTGTAGTATACAGATGAGAAAACTGAGACCCGAGAAGAGTTTAAGTGATTGTCTGCAGCTTTATATTTTCATTTTTCTGGTCTCTGCTAACTCCTGGCCTCAGTTTCCTTTGTAAAATGAGAGATTTTTATGAACCCCCCCCAAAAGTCTTTCCATTCTGAAAATCTGCTGTTTTGTCATTCTTTCACTTTCCTTTTCGCGTATTCTTTGGGTGAGGTACTTTCATAAAATGTAAATGAGGCAGGTAGTGGATTCAGGCATAGCATTGGGGTCCAGGGGCTCTGATTATAAGACGTGGGAGTGGGAATGTGCTGGCCTTTTGGCTTCTAGATTTCCCTAAAGTTGCTTTCTTATTTGGCTTCCTCAGGACATCATATCATTTATTGGTTCCCATAATCTAAACTTGTCCGTTTTGTTCATATTTGTCTGTGATTGCTCTTTAAGCAATATACTCAATTTTTTAAATTACAAGAGTAATAATACATGTTACTAAAAAGTACATATTATTGTGGAGAAAAAAATAAGTACTCATGAACACAGGGTAGAAAATAAGTCATAATCCCAGCATCAAAAGATAACAACTTTTAATAATTTGAGAGACACTTTTTTAAAAGGCGCAGATGTGACATACAGCACCTGTTGTTGTAATCTCCCCCCACCCCTCCACCTACCTCCCACCTACCCCTCCCGCCTCCCCACCCTCCCACCCCGTCTCGTGGACACTTGCACTGTCTGACCTGTGATCATAGTTTCATTTTTTGTTTGTGTAGTTTTTTTGGAGGGGGTAATTTATTTTTTATTTTTTGAAGAGTGAGTTATTTATTTAGGTTTTTTTGAGGGTGGAGGTAATTAGGTTTATTTATTCTGTTATTTTTAGGGGAGGTACTGGGCTTTGAACCCAGGATCTCGTGCATGCTAAGCGTGCACTCTGCCACTTGAACTGTACCCTCCCTGCCGTAGTTTCATTTTGAAGGAATCGTTCTATGTCTATAACACAATGATAGTGTTATAAAAATGGCTTGTTTTTCCTGTGGTGATTTCTGTAAAGAGTATTTTTTTTTAAAGATTAAAGCTATAAATTCTAAAAGTACCTGAGCATATCCAGCATTTGGCCATGCTAGCTTTTACTCAGGATGACAGCTTTTGTCCTCACCCCCAGCAGGACTGTTACTCCAGCATCCCAGTCATTCTGCCTTCTCGTTCATACAAGCCAAGCAAAATGGCCTCACGGGCAGCATGACTGGGTTACTCTTGTAGCCTTTCCTCTGGCCTGAGGCACTCTTAAAACTGTGTTCAGTGATAAAGAATATGAGAATGAATATATATATATGTAAAAGTGGACTATTATGCTGTACACCAGAAATTGACACAGCATTTAAACTTTCTGTACTTCAATTTAAAAAAAAAACTGATCAAAATAGTTATGCTTCATGCAAATCCTGGTTCTTAATGAATCTGTGCCTGTGGGGAAGTGTTCCCCTGGATGAGTGTACTTGATTTTTAAAAAGAAGACACAGAAAGTGCTGTTAGCATGCAGCGCCTTACTAAAAGGGAAATGCCAGGTGACAGTTGGCTAATTTCTTAATGTCTATAAGCCTCAGTATTCCACCTGTAAACTGAGAATTATAAGAGTATCTTCTTCCAAGGGTCACTTGAAGATGAAATGGGATAAGGCATATAAAGTGCTTGAAAGTGTACTTAGCATCAGAATATGCATTCAGTATTGCTTGTAAAAGAAAATTTAAGTCTCATATTGATTTTAAATGAGTTTTAAATAACTTCATTCTTATGCAGAAGACTTAACCAATGGCTCATATGATGACGTCCTAAATGCTGAACAGCTTCAGAAACTCCTTTACCTGCTTGAGTCAACTGAGGATCCAGCCATTATCGAAAGAGCTTTGGTCACCGTGGGGAACAGTGCAGCCTTTTCCGCCAACCAGGTGAGTGCCCTGCCTCCGCTCTCCCTTCTCACACGCCAGCCACAGCTGTGATCCCGGTATGTTACTGAAGCTCCCAGAGCCGCAGATTTTTCATTGTTAGTGTGGCTGTGTGTCCTTACAGCGTAACATTAGTTTACTTCTGAAAAGCACAGCTGATAGTAACACAGTTAGTGATAGTCTTCTAGATCCCTGTGAAATTGGTCACTGGCATCACATTCCTAGTAGCGAATCAACACTCCGTATTGCATGGCCTTTTTAATTATTTAAAATTCAGCAGTGCTATAATAGAGCGATGAAAGCATCCAACATCTGCATGCTGTACGTCGTATACGGAGCTGAGGAGGTTGGGTCTGATGCAGGTGGTCCCTGGTCCACGCTCTGACAACCATGGGCCAGTGTAAACGGCCTCTGCTTCCTTCTCCCCTCTCCATGTGTAGAGAAAAAGTAAAACGTGTCGTAGTTACTTAAGAATTCATCAACATTGTCATGAATGCAAAATTATTTTGAATCTATACTTTATTTCAGGCTCTTTTTCTCCAGCGTGTCAAAGTTTACTTACTGTATAGCTCTAGAGAGTTACAGGGAGATATAAGGAATATTTGTGTACTGCAAGTGACAGAACCCAACTTAAGTTATTTTAAACCTAAAAGGGAAAATAGTGAGCTCCGAGAATAGCACTGGCTTCTTGGACATCCAAGAATAGCACTGGCTTCGGGCACAAGTGTGCCCATGGCTCAGGTGTTATCAGAGATCTCTCTTGCCCTGTCTTCTGTCTTTTCTTACCCCCTGCTTCTTGTGTATTGGTCTTTGTTCCAGCCACAAAGAGGTTTTCTTCACAGGGATGGAAAGAAAGCCACTGGCCTCTTCAAGCCTTCATCCCTGTAGCTCATGATCCAAAAGGTGGAGTTGCTCTGCGAGGATCAGTTGCCAACCTTTTGGATCCATTGCTGGGCCCAGGCACCCAGGACCACAATTAGCAAGGCCTGGCTCACGTGCACATCCTCCAGCCGGAAATGGCAGGGATGGATGTGAACACGGTTGACCAGCAATCCCACCAGGGGCTGTGTGGGATGGAGGAGGGGCTGTGTCTGCCTCATTGGATAGAGGGGTGCCAGGCAGACAAAAACAACAGATGGTGACGAGCTTATGCCTGTATTGGGGGTATTTCTGATGCCGTAGTTTTATATTCCTCTGAAACAAACGGTGGTCAGAGTGGGTCAGTAGCTTTCTTGAGTAGTGGGAGTTGGTGTCCCGCTGTCACAGTGCATTCATCCGCTCTAACAGTACAGGTTTAAAAAAGAAAGGGCTGTTTTCTGGTACCCACAGATCCTTGGGAAGAACCTGGAATTGCAGAGGGAAAGCTTCTTTTTCTGTCTTTCTGATAAAGCGGCATGTTTTGGCCTGACAAGAGTCATTTTCAGCTTATTTTTCTTGTAAGAATTGAAGAGGTTAAAGCCTTTTTCAATGTTGAGACAAAGGCAGCTAGGAACATAGTGCTGCAGTTGATTGTGAGAAATCCCCAAATTATTTTTCCTTTGAGAATCTGGGCAGCATTTCCAAGCTGTGTGGAACTTTAATTCCTCCAGATTTAATAAGTATTCCTCCGGACGCCCCCAACTGAAAAACGGCTCTCTTTGGGGGTAGAGTCCGTGGAAGTACTATATTCAGTTCTCCCCTCTTGGAGATTCCCAGCACAGGAACACAGGAATGTGTCCCAGTAAAGAGACATGCTTGATCTTGTTATACCCAGAGTTTCTCAGACTTGCTTAACCATGAAACCTCCCTTTTTTTAATGGAGCATCTGTTAACATCTTGAGTGGTTAGTATTCCAAAGTATACATTTTAGCTAAACACTAGTGTCCTAAACTTTAATGCATTTTATATTGTCCTGTGATAGAGAAGTTATGTAACTTATTTCAGGGTAAAATAATTTTGTTTGTACATTGCTTGAGATCATTGCAGTAGCTCTGCAAATCTTCATTGTATATCTCCGTGCTGTGGTTTAAATATACAGAGCTTGATTTTCTTTACCTGTAAAATTATGAATGGTAAGCTTTTTTTAAAAAATAGGAATTATAGATTTTGTATGGGAACACTATTTCCAAGAGTCATTAATTTTTATTTGTATTTGTTGATGTGAAGAATATCCTGAAGGGGGCCGCATACTGAAGTCGTGGTCCTGTGTCTTTCCCGTTAGGTCGTTATTCGTGAACTGGGTGGTATTCCAGTCGTTGGAAGCAAAATCAACAGTCCCAACCAGAGTATCAAAGAGAAAGCTTTAAATGCACTGAATAACCTGAGTGTGAATGTTGAAAATCAAATCAAGATAAAGGTAAGTTATCTGAAATCACAAATGTGTAAGGTTTTCTGTAAATGAAAGTAACAAGGAAAATAATGAAACTGTAGCAGACCATCCTTTATAAATTTGTAGCCAAGAATTACCTGTATTTTTTCTAGCTTTATTGAGATATAATTGACTTAGAATATTGTGTAAGTTTAAGCTATACAACATGATGATTTGCTACACATACATATATATAGCAAAATGATTACCACTCTAGCATCAGCTAACACCTCCATCACCTCATCTAATTATGTGTGTGTGGTGAAAACATTTGAGAGCTACTCTTAGCAACTTGCAAGTATACAGTATAGCACTGTTAAGTGCTGTCACACTGCTGTACCTTAGACCCCAGAACTTAACTTCTCTTATCACATTAAGCTTGTACTCTTGGACCAGAATCTCCCTATTTCCTTCACCCTATCGTTCTACGCTCTGTGTCTACGAGTTCGACTTTTTTAGATTCCACCTATAAGTGAGATTGTTCAGTATTTGCCTTCTCTGTCTGACTTGTTTCACTTAGCATAATTCCCTCAAGGTCCAGCCATTTTTCACAAATGGCAGGACTTTCTTCTTTTTTATAAATAAGTAATATTCCGTTATGTAGATAGACCATATTTTCTTTATTCATTTGCCATTGATTGACACTTACTTCTATGTCTTGACTATTGTGACTAATGCTGCAGTGAACACAGGGGTACAGATACCTCTTCCAGAGAGTGATTTTGTTTCCTTTGGATATATGCCCAGAGTGGGAGCACTGGCTCATATGGTAGTTCTGTTTTTAATTTTTTGAAGAATATCTGTTCTGTTTTCTGCAGTGGCTGTAACCACTGTCAGTACACAGGGATTCCTTTTTCTCCACATCCTCACCAACACTTGTTACCTCTTGTCTCTTTGATAATAACCCTTCTAATAGTTTGTGAGGTTTGTGTGTGAGGTGGTAACTCACTGTGCTTTTGATTTGCATTTCTGTAATGATTAGTGATATTCAGCATCTTTTCATGAACCTGGTGACCATTTGTTTGTCTTTGGAAAAATGTCTGTTCAGTTCCTTTGCTCTTTTTTTATGAAGAATGAGGCAGAGGAGGGAGGGACCTGAACCAGCCGATGAGAGGTGCAGTGGACTTTTGAATTTGGGGTTCAGTTTAATCCATGAGGTAAAGGAACCAGGGCAGAATCAGATAACATCAGCAGAAAGACACAGTAAGTTAGGAAATGACGTTAATTAAAAATTTATTGAGCTCCTGCTCTCTGTTAGAGAGTTTAGAAATGAACATGATTAACTCTTGCTTGAGGAAAGCCAGAAGGAGGGACAAGGCAAGTCCACAAATAGTTGTAATTCAAGGCAGAACATGATGAAGTACTTTAAGGAAAAATGTAAGTAAAATACTGTTGAATACACAGAAATGAGGCATCTTATTCACAAGTTTCTGTAAAAGGTAGCTCTTAAGAATCTCGCTCATCAGAACTTGTAAAGTTTCTCCCAGCAGAGTTGAGGAACGCGGGAATCCAAGAGAAAGGACCAAGGTGAGGTGGGCACAGCTCCAGGAGTAACGGAGCTGGGCCGTTTGGTCATCTTGTCGCTAGAACTGAAGAGATTCAGGGGTAATAAGGATGTGCATGCTCAGCACATTTTAGGAAATGCTTTGAAAGACATTAGCATCCTATGAAAATAGATGATTTGTAAAGGGCTAAGGAAATGCCATTTTTTGAAGGATGGATAGCTAATAAAACTATGACCCAGGAGAGCCAGACTGATTTGTAAATACTACTTAGATCTTGAAACCAGATTAAAAATTCTAATCTCTTTGCTTCACTGCTTTTACTTTAGTTTCGATGGTAACATGGATACATTTGGATAGTTTCAAGTCAGTACTGGCTCATGGGAAAATTGGTAATTTCTTAGAATTTCGTATTAGGAAATTTTTCTTACCAGTTAGAAGTTTTGGTGGAATTCAGACTTAGGTGAATACCAATTATTTTTAAGACGTAATGTTTCCAAGCTGGAAAGGCCAGACAGAAAACAGAGTTTCAGAAAACTTTCCATTACCCTGGGTTTACCTTAGATCTGTCCTGTGTGACATGGGTGCACCACTGGCACTGGGTTACTTTTCGTCAGCAGTGGTTTACGGTATCAGGAAGGAGTAGTTCATGTACATACACCTCGGTAAGTCAGAACCCTGGGCCCGGTAGTCTGGCCTCTGCTTGCTTCTGAAAGAAAGAACTCTAAAGAAAAGTTGTATTTTACTTTGTCCTCCCCGCTCCCCTTTCTTTTCTTCTAACATGATGTAGCCCCTAGACCCTACTGTTCAGGGACTTGATGGTGCAGAACAGCCCCACACATTTTCCTCCTGGCCCTGGTGTGCCCAGACACAGACAGGCAGACTGAGTTGAGAGCCTCCCAACAAGTGAGAGCCCCCACTGGGGTTAAGATCCTGGTCTGTGGGGTTAGACATTGCTCCACTGACTGATAAAGGTGAGCAGGGGATCCAGGCTCCTCAAAGACTTTAAAGTCTTCATCTGTAAAATGGCCCTAATAACGCTCCCTCGTTAGCGATGTCCTGGGGATGACGGGGGGATCTCTATAAAAGGCCCAGCACGGCGCCTGCTGTGAACAAGGGCAGCTTTAAAAGGAGGTCGCCCACGGTTGAGGGCTGGATAGAAATGCCATCTTTCTCAAGAAGACAGTCTCATCCTGAATAATCGCCCTGCTCCACTGTGCATAAAAGCTACTGTTCAGTAGCTTCTAAGATGCTCCCTTTTCCCCCACCTTCAGGTGTACGTGAATCAAGTCTGCGAGGATGTGTTGTCTGGCCCCCTGAACTCCGCGGTGCAGCTGGCCGGACTGAGGCTGTTAACAAACATGACAGTTACCAACGACCACCAGCACATGCTTCGCAGTTACATTACAGACCTGTTCCACGTGTTGCTCACAGGAAATGGAAGCACCAAGGTATGAAGGAAGCTGTCATTACTTAAAGTACAAAGAGCTATTGCATCCAGCTTACTAAGATTGGAATTGAATTTTTAAGTCACCTATATCCTAGTTGATGTCCCTCAGAAAGAGAAAGTAAAAAGTTTAAGGGAAACCCTTACATGGGCCTCAGAAAATATATTATTTTTATCCCGTAGTACTGAATTTCAAAATTAATGTGTGAAAATAATCTCTTATTTTAGTTATCAATAGATTGGTATTCATTTGTGTTTCTGAAAATCAGTTTACTTTTTATTGAAATGAATTAGCTAGCTCCCCCTCAACCAGATACAGGGCCATCCTGATTGAAAGGAATCTCTGAGTGACGTGCTGGGTAATCACATTTTTTGCTTACTTCAGGGTTAACAAACATTTTGTTTGATTCAGCCATTATTTGTTGAAAAATCATTCTAAACCTTACGCTTCTAAGCTTTAGTCGTGGACGTCTCTGCACTCCACTTTGACCTGTTACGCAGATTGAGCTGGGTTAACTGGGACACCCTGTGGAAATCACCTGAGCAAACCCCTCAGACAGGTGTGCATTCTTATCCAGCGCCATTTGTCAGGAAGCAGCCTGGAAACAGAAGGGGCCTACCTGGAGGTTCCGATCAGTTGAGTTGCTTAGTCATCCACGTTTTGCTGCATTGGTCTGTGCTCTCTGGCACCGTGGAGAGAAAAATGCACGAGCATTTTAGAAGGCCCGGGTGTGAAGCCAGACTCTGGATAGTCCTCTTCACTGAAGTTACTTCTGAGGTTATCAAACTGTGATTACAGGAGAGCCTCACTTTTAGACCTTTTCAAATGTGTTGAGATGTTTTCATATGGGCTGTGTGCATTTCCAGTGGCCACATTTATTTGGATCTAGTCCAAGATGTACCTAGAGGCATTCAGAATTAAATGGAATCATCATATTAGCAATATTTTAGCAATATTACCCCATCCGTAGGCAATTTCCCAAATGCATGCACCCACCAACACCCCTCTCCACTGCAGCAAGGGAACTTCCAGCCCCTGAGCCTCTGGGGAGACTCCGTTCCCCCCACCCCGTGGCCTTGCAGCTGTAGAAGAGAATCTCTCCTCTGCTTCTCTTGTAGCTGCCTTGCCCCAAACCTCCCGAGGACACTGAGTTCAAAGCCAGGCCATTTTGGCCTGGGAGCTGTATAGATCTGTCCCAGACATGGTGTGTGTTTTAATACATTTTATGACTTTTTAAAAGGTGACTCACACCACAATAGTATGTTCTATTTTTATTTTGTTTTTCCATTACATTGCCTAGTATGGTATTTCTGGGACAGAAAATTTGCTTTTTTGGTCTTTCTGTGAACCTAACCACCGATTGTTTCTCCATTAAAAAATGAGTTTAAAGTTCCAGCTTGCAAGTGAACTCTTGGGAAAATGTACCTGTTTTAGATATTTTCTTAGTAAATAAGCAAGATGAATTTTTAAAAGCTTTATTTTTAATAAGTGATATCACTGTACTCTAATAACCTTTTGGGTTTAATACTGATTTTTAACTAAATGCAGATAATGGAAGATGAAAGTGAATAAACCTTGAATTTGCTGCATCTGCCATGAAGACAAAGAAAACTAATGGTGGTTGGGGGAGGGCATAGCTCAGCGGCAGAGTGCTAGCCTAGCGTGCATGAGGTCCTGGGTTCAATCCCCAGCACCTCCATTAAAAAATAAGTAAGAAAACCTAATTACCTCCCCCAAAAAACAAACAAAAATTTAAAAAAAAACTAATGGCTTAAAAGAAATGTTCTGGAGTTACCACAAGATGGCGCATGTGACAGGAGAAAACAGGACTGAATGCCCTGTTGAAAACAAAATACATGTATGTAGCTTTTTAATCTGTAGTTGTATCTGTGTTTTTTTCCTCACTTCTGTGGAGCACAGCAGCATGGAGTTTTAGTTCAGGCTACTAACTAGCTATACTGCTCTTACTGCTCCCTGTTGTCAACCTGTCCTCATTGATGACTAGTGAGCCTTTTTAGATTTTGTTGACTTCATCCAGGCTTTTTCATAGGTTCAGGACCATTCTGTTTCATAACTCTCATCCTTGTTTTCCTAACTGAAACTTCATTGACGTTGGAGACGAGTGTTTCTTCTTCCTGACACTTAATCTCCTTACTCCTCGTCAGGCTGGACCAGGTCTGACAGTGACCACCAGGGGGCGCACTAAAGAAGGATCAGAAGTCGTCCTCGCTCTTTTACCTTAAGAGGCTGTAATTTATAAAACACGTGCTTACAAAACATGGTCCACGCGTGGACAAGAAACTGTTACCGGTGGTTTCTGCTGGGGAGTGGGACAGGCAGACAGGATGGTGGCTTTTGTTACTTTGTTCTCTTCTGCACTGTTTGAAATTTATCATGACCGTGTATTTATAAATATTTTAAAAATAATTGAAACAGTAAAGTTAAGCAAATTCTCACATATTCCTCTTTAATTAACAAGTTAGTATGTACAGCCTGATCAAAGGAATGTGTGAGTATATAGGATCTGTGCATTAAGGACCAGAGAGAAAATGCCAAACTTTATAGTTACTGTTTCTGGTCGGGAAATGTGGGTGAATTTCCTTTTCCTTTGTGCTTTTCTGTACTTAAAAAAAGAAATGTTCTGCCGTAAACACATGCCTTGGTCACCTAAAAAGGGCTTATGGAATGACATCTGTTCCTCCCCAGGTCTAGTGGAGCACAGTGGTCACTTTTCCTGACTTGAGTATCCTTTCCTTGCTTCTAACTTTCCGTCATTTCAAGTATCTTGTAGAAAGTATAGTTTTACATGACCTCTGTTTTTAAAGGAAGAATTCTATTTGAATGTTTTTGTTACTGACTTTTCAGTTACAAGTGGTAAGAATGCTGATATTTTAGCTAGTCAGCTCAAAGTTAATATTTGTTTGCTGATTATTATCTTACTATTTAAATGATTATAAAATATTACACATTAAAAAAGCTCCAAGAATCATAGTAACCTACTAAAAGGGGCCATATTGTTAGTCTTCATAACCAAACTATCTCTGAATTTTCATACTTTAAGTAGAAGTAGACAGAGCTTTGAGAGATTTCTTTTTTATTCCAAAGATCGTACTTTTACTTAACAGTAATCATAGTAAAGATCGTTTATGTTACATGTTAGACTTACCCTGTGTTGGGTATGTATGTGGGTGGGGGGTGGCTAGTGAAGACATTCACTGTTTTCTCCCTATGTCCCTAAAGTGTAATTGGGAAACTAAGGATTTTAAGTAAGATGAATGGAGGTTTCATGAGTGGAGAGAATTTGAGTCAGATCTTGAAGAATAGGCAGGTTTTAAAATGTGGACATAGTTGGTGGGGGGCGGTTGGGGGAACAGCATGCCAGGGAGAGAAAATCCATGCTTGCTGATCTGAAATAAACCCGTATTCTTATTTCAGGTTCAAGTTTTGAAACTGCTTTTGAATTTGTCTGAAAATCCAGCCATGACAGATGGACTACTTGGTGCCCAAGTAAATAGCCTACATACTTGTTTTATAAAAATACAAATACATAGATTTGGACAGATCAGGTAGGAAAAGATTTATCCCAAAATATTAACAGGGATTATCTCGGGGGGTTTTTTTGGTTCATTTTGCCTATATGAGTTTCCTAAAGTTTCTGTGATAAATATAGTTCACATTTCAAAATCATTTTTAAAAGTTCTCCTTAGCAATAGTAAATTATGTTTCTGACTTTATCCAATTTGGGGTACTTGGGTCATCACATCTTTTGTACTCGACCTGTTTATGTTCAGTGCACCTGAGCATCCCCTGAAACAGTAGCATTTATGGAGTCCCCGCTGTGTGCCTGAGGCTGGGCTGAGTGGCAGCATACGCCAGTGAGGACGGCACGACGGTGCTTGTCCTCATGGAGCTTACAGTCTAGGGAGAAGAGACAAACACACGTGAGAAGTGAGCAAGAGAATGAAAAGCTGTGCTAAGTGTTCTGAAGGAAGCACAGGTATTGCGGTGGTAGAATGGACCTCGGCTCCCGTAGCACAGGGGCCCTGTCGTCTTCACCTGCTCAGCCCCGTGCCCCGCACTGTAAGTACAGCTAATGTCTGCTGAATCAGTGAGTGTCTATGATGACTGTGCGATGGATCTTAAAAAGGAAACGGGTATTTGTCCAAATGACTACGTTCTAGGATTCCAAGGAAATTGTATTTTTGAGCCAAAACACAAAACCTCTTTTTCCCGATTTTACACATTTATATTACGCAGTTTTAGGGATAATTTTCTGACAAGATTTTTTTTTAATGTATTCAGTGCAGTTTTAAAATGTGAAAATATACATGGAAAATGTTTTCGTATATTTTTAACACTCACTGTTTCCTGTTTCAGGTGGATTCATCATTCCTTTCGCTCTATGATGGCCATGTAGCAAAGGAGATTCTTCTTCGAGTTCTCACGCTATTTCAGAATATAAATAACTGTCTCAAAAAGGAAGGCTGTTTAGTTATTGGCCCTACTTTCACTAAAGGTTCACTGTTTTACCTGCTATATGGAGAAGAATGTGCCCAGAAAATGAGAGCTTTAGTTTATCACCAGGATGCGGACGTGAAGGAAAAGGTAACAATGCTACCAAAATTCTAACTGGTTGGTCATATTTTTTTTCCAAAGAGCAATGTAGTGTAGACGTAATTCACATAAACTTCTCATTTTTCACCTTCTTAGAGCTACTGAATTGAAACAGTAAGTGTCATGTTTTATCTTTAACACAACTACAACTTGCCATGGTCTTTCTGGTTTATTTTGGACCATGTTATTGACACCAAATTAACACAAGAGCTTGTTCTAAAACCATTTTTTTTATTTTGCTTTTTGCTGAAACACTTCAGTTATTTCCTCTGCATGGAGTGACAGTGACCTTTTTTATGTGTAAGCTACCCTTCACTGTCTGAGGTGGCATTAGCACGTTTCATAACTGCCCTAGGAATGACCTTGTTCTTTCAGCAGAGATGAGAACCTGTACTCCCAAGCCCACCTGCCAGGTTGCTTTTGGGTCTGTCCTAAATCCGCAGACTCTGTTCTAGTCCATGAAGCCTGTAGACTGTCAGGAATACCTTCCTAGCGCTCGCCCGCCCCTGGTCAGTGTGCTCTGTGTAATGTGCTGGGATCTGTCAGAATCCATCCAAAAGCAGTTGGTTAAATCATCTGTCTAGTCTTCAAAAGGAAATGTGCTAATGTGGAAAGACATCCATGAAATGTTTGTTTTTTAAAATGTTGAAGAAAAATATGTATAATGTGATCCCATTTATGGATTTTTAAACACAATATATGCTTATATATGGACAGAACACTTCTGTCATTCATATAGAAACAATCTGGCATATCTAGACTTACGCCCAAACTCCTGGGAATAGGACTGGAGAGTGAGGGAATGACTTTTCTATGTACACTTTCTATTGTTTGAACTTTTTACTCTGAGCATAAATTTTATAATTTTTCTAAATAAAGAAGAAAAAAAATCACAAGGTTATTTCTCCCCTTAATTGAAAATATTTTATTCATTAGTTTTCATCCTTATTTTACATGACTAAAATTACAGTGTGTGAACAATTCTCAGCAAAAGTTTTACTAGTATTTTTATTTCATAAGCTCCTAACAATTTATTGATATATTTGAATTCAGCCAGGTTTTTATTCCCCTTGCCCACACACCCCTCCCCCCAGCCAGGTTTTATAATGTGCATAACCCCCACCATGCTTAATTATTAAGTAAGTCAGTTTGCAAGCAGAAGCTTTCTTATTCATGTATTTAAGGCTAAGCTTTAAGAGAAAAAACTTCATTTGTAAATACATACAATTCCATAGGAAGTCACAAATCCTCAAAAAAATCCTCAAAACAGAAAAATGTGCTTTCTCAGGGTTATCCTGATACAGAAATGAAACCTGGGAGAAATATTTTTTACAATAGAAAAAGGATTCAGTAGATGGTGGAAACATGGAGTCCCAGTTGGCTACAGTAGTAACATACATTGTAAGAGGTAAGAGTGATACTTTTATTTATCAGTGATGCAAACTTAATCCCTGAAAGGCACATTCCTTTATAACAATTTTGTTTAATCTTCTTCCTTGTTTGATGAAAATATATATACAAAATTGTACACACATTAAAACCAGGATTTGGTTTCAATGTGCTTTAGCAGCATTGAATTCTAAAACTCTTCTTTTCCTCTATTAGTTTGAATAAATAATCACATTTTCTGGAGATCAGAGCATTCAGTATGAAATGTCAAAATGCAGGAGAAAAAAAGAGGAGTTGTTTTTAACTGTCCAGAAAGAATTACACGGTGGAAGTGCACAATGAGCCCTCCGTCTGTGTAGGTCACGGCACATCTTGACTTTTTCGGTGGGCTGTCTGCTAACTGATGGTCCCACGCTCCAGGGCAACAAGGATCCAAGTGTTCCTCAGTTTCCACAAGAAAAAGGTAAGTTCAGAAAAAGAAACTGACTTAGGGGATGAGACAGACTAAAAGGTTTTTAATTATGACGTATATTCGAAAGACTGGAGGGAAGACAGTGGGTCTGTCTTAGTTTTCAAAATTTGTTTTTGCTTTGCACATTAAACCCTTCAAAATACAGGTAAGTGAAAGGTAAAATGGAAACCATGCAACAGTGAGATTCTATAAGGTGAGATAAAGTTCGACCTACTTCTTAACAAACAATCCGAATGGAATGTGAACGGTCATGAAAATTAAAGCTTGTGAAGAAGCCCAGAACTCAGAGCGTAGTTAAAGTGCTTGGAGCCCCTCAGTTAAACAGCCCACGTGAATACAAAATTAACCTTAAGGCCATTCAGGGAAGAGAAATAATTAAGCAAGATGTGCAACGGCGAGGAAGGCGACCACCAGCATGGTTAGTGTTAGGGCAGCACCCGCCAAAGCTCATCCACCGCGAGCCTAATACCTTGATTCCTGTCTGCTTGCTAAATGTTCCTTTGGAGTAAGAAAGTGGTTTTTTTCCTGAAGGTTTATTTTATGGGGGAAACTTCTTGTGCTTTAGTGCCCCCCAAGTCACACATAAGTATTTCCCCTAGACAGAGGTGCATCTCTCTAGATAAAGATCATTTACATTTATTTTGCTGTTACTCCAAATTTAAAAAATGCAGCAGATGAAGTTGTTAGTCCTTGGCGTTTAGTGTCCTTATCTGCTTGAATGTGCAGCAGGAAGGATACATTATCAGACAGCATTACCCTAGTTCTCATTTTCAAATCTCCCTGTCTGTGTCAGGCAGTGATATTTCAAGAAATCATTTTCTCCTTATATTCTCAAAGAGCTTTTAAAAAACAATGATTTTATTTATTCTTCACATTTTTGGAGGTAGGTCAAAGATACCGTCTTGTTGCACGTGAGGAAACTGAGGCACAGTGAGCTTAGGTGACTTGTTTCCGGGAACACAGAAAATCCATGGTGGACGAAGGATGAAAATTCAGAGTAAGTGGCCAACATGTGGCCTGCATATTATATATACTTCTATATGTGACAACAAATTACAGAGCACTGCCTGGGTAGCATTTGGTAAGGAAAACCTGTTTTGATTATTGTTCATTTCACTGAGACTGTGGACCGGGAAGACAGAAGGGGCTTCTGTCATCACCAGCTCTCTCACCTGGGAAGATTCAGAGTCACCAAGGGACTGCAGAGCCTGTCAGGGACTAACACTCAGGTCAGCTTGACTCCAGAATTACTGTCTTTAACCACTAGTATCCACACTGGCTTAATACAAGCAGAACTGTGCTTAGGGAGTCATTTCATATAAAAATACAAGACATCAGAATCTATAAAACATGTTTATAAATCTCACTGACATATTGGTGCTAGAATTAAGAAACCAGAAAAAAATCAGTATATGGAGAGAAGATGGAATATGGAAAGGAAAGAATTCAAAGTGTATGGTCTATTAATATTGAAGATCTGCACTTTACCTTTGTACATTATTTCCTTGTAAACTATTTCCTTGCAGCTATATTTGTACTTAGCAGGTCTGACTTTT